CCAAAATGTTTGATTGATACGCATGAATCATGTTACCCAAAGTGGAGAGTTCACGAGGATTCAAGCTACAGTGCAGGGCTACAGTGAAGCAAGGATATAATACACTTTTCATAAAAAAAAATATAGATATACTTCTAAAGTTAAATATTTAACAAATGAATAATTAGCATTGAGTTCATTTTATTATTTTTCAACTTGAATTATCTCAAAAGTATTTAAACGAAATTATTGTATTTGTTGGAAATAATATATTATATTTTAGGGGGTTTTTGTTATTATTTATAGAGAGTTTTAAATCTTTTTAGTAAATAAAATTTATCCTTTACATCCTTTTATCGAATCGCCCCTGTATTTTGTCATTTTCCCCGTCAGACAGTTGATGTCTTCATCATTCTTTTTTTGGTTTTTGGGGTTGAAAGATTCGGATTTTAATCGGACTACTTAACGATTGAATTGTTGTTCAGTTGCAGTTTTTATTTTATTATTCTTTTATACTTTTTGTTTTCCTTATATCCTAGACTTCCTATTGTTTGGCTTTCTTGGGGGATAGTGGGAGTGGCAGCGTTGACTGTCAAGTTTGGGCACCAAATTGTTGACGCCAAGTTGGCGAGACAAAATCATTAAAGAAACATGAGGCTAAAATAACAAAATTAACGACCCTAGAGGGGGAGTTGGGCATAAAGGACATGGCATGTGAAGTTGGGGGAGAGAAAAATAACATTCAAGGACATGGAACTACTGGCAGCTTCACAATTTGAAGGACTTTCGGTGTAATGTGGTGTGAAAAATCAATGGACCTTCAAACTCTCTCGCTCTGAGCTCATGGCTCTTAGCTCTTAGCTCCCTTTTTAGCTACAGGGCGTATGCGTAATATTATGTTTTTCTTTTTTAATGAAAATGTTAAAATATATAAAGTGTAGCGTAAAAATTGGATTTAACCTCAAGGTGGTTCAAGCCGAAAGCTTTTGGATCATTTTTCAAAAGTTTATTTTTTTTTAAACAATGATAAGCCCTTGTGTTTTGTCATGGCTCCCACACTCACACTCACACATTCAAATCTAGAAACTAGTTTTTCTTTAAAGTTCAAGCCAACTTTTCAAAGTCAAACAAAACCAAATAAAAAACAGAAGAAAAAAAAAAACCTCAGACAGCTGAAGCAGAAAAAATGTTACAGGCCCTTTAGACAAACTTTAAAAATAAGACAAAAGAAGCCCAAGGGCATTTAAATAGGGACGGGGACGGGGCAACCGAGACCTATGTAAATTTAAACTTGAATTTAATTCATTGAAGAAAAATGAGAAAATGAAGAAAAACGGAAAGCCAAATAAAAGGGAAAGTTAACCGAAATATTTCTTTAAATTATTGAAATTTTATTGATTTTTTACTAATTATTATTAATCTTATTTTATTACCAACTAATTCTTTTAAAAATAAAGAATAACTTTTCTTGAAAATGCAATAAATTGCAACCACGCCCACTTTTTTAAGAGAAAATCTGGAACATTGTCATTAACATGGATATGCTAAAAATGGAAAATGAGGAAAAAATAAAGCCCCAAGAGCCAGATCATTATTATTAACATAATCATTGGTCTGATCTTTGGGGTTTCGGTCTCTAAAAATAACTGTGCACGCATTGCGTTGCGTTATATGCATTTCCCATCCAACAAAAGCAAAAGCCAACGAAAATCACAGCACAAGCAGAGAAAAAGCAAAGCAAAAGCAACAAATGACAACAGCCAGCCAATGACAACAATAAAAGTATGTCAGGCTGAATCACAGAGGCGTATAGATAGATGTATAGATATAGATATTGTAGCTAGAATGCACACTCAACTAAAATACAACAAAAAAATTAAAGAATTTTTTATAAAAAGAAAAAGATTACAAATTAAGCCTAGACTTGGGTAGAGAGAAGTGATGTAATTTAAAGCTTCTCTTCATTTAAGAAAAATCAAGGCATGTCAATGGGAATTGATTTAATTTTCTTGATTAAATCGTAAATGTTTAACTTTATCGATAACTATCGATTATTTTTAAACAAAATAAAGACAAGATGAAAAAGAGAATCTTGCAGAGGAATTATAGCAATATTCAAGTTTTTTATAAAGTTGTCATTTCAATTAAAGTTTCCATAACGACTGTATCGATATTTATCGATTTATTTCCAGAACTCTTAAGGTTTTTTTTGGCTTTCAACTTATTAGCTTTACAAAATGAGTTCTATATTTGACTTTTAACATTTTAATATCATTAAAAACCGATATGATGTATAATTATCGATTTATTAGTTTAAAACAGGGATCGGCACCCCAATACATTGATATGATTTTACCGCATTAGTGTTAGTAACGAATAGCAGAAAGTAGGCTGTGTGCATGACGTTTCACACATGTATACTGTGTGTGTGTGGCAGAGCTCGGGCAGAGAAATTTCCTATGCCCCCGAGATAGGGCCGTGCCGACCTCTGGTTTAAAACTATGTTTAGATTTATCTTATCTTGTTTTAAAAATATTTCAATCCTATAGAAAAACGATATTTTCGATAAATATTAGTCTAAAATCGATTTCTTTACTTTTCTATCCCCAATTTCGAATAAATGCCCGATTTCAAAAGCATTTATTTTTATTTCATTTCTCTCACTGCTAGTTAAACCCACACTCAAACCACTTAGGCATAACCAAATAATTATGAATTAAAAAAAGCGGAAAAAACGAAAGAAAAATGTCAGTAATTTACTTTATTACATAGCCAACATAAAAAAAATGAAAATTGGCCAGGCAATTTCCGTTTAATAACCTCACAGATATGTTTTGCTTTTATTCCGCAAAAATTCCGCAACATTTTTAAAGCAAAAAAAAGATTGATTTTCAAAAATAGAATATTTCTTTAGGAGCTTGTTTATTTACTTTCTGGTGCCCTATAAAGCCCCCCTCCTATGCGGAGGTCTATATGGGATCATTAGCTTCTTGCAGAATTCAAATCTGCTGGCCAGATGTTTGCATTTTATGTTGCAATTTATACAACGGAGTCTTTTCACCCATTTATGGGAATTATGTTCGGATATGTGGGCTATACTATATGAAGTGTGTCCCATGTCCCATAAAATTACGTAATTCCTTGCCAGCCGGCTTAGATTTTTTTTTTTCGGTTTTCGGTTAATATTCTCAACGTGCTTGACCATCCGGTCCGGTAAAACTGGTTTCAGATAGTGTCCGATTGCTTTACCCTTCTGGCCTCTAAACCCTCTCTATACTATATATATTTTTTTTTCTATATAATTTTTTTTTTCCAACACACTGTACCTGTTAGTAGAAATGAACCACTTGCTGGCATCAAGGCGTGAAAGAGCGGAGAGTCGGTTGGGGAAAATCGGAGAGCGCACACATTTCCCATTTCCCACTATTAACCCATTTTAGTTTTCATCGTACACCGACCGACCGTACGTGTAAAAATAAACAACACACAACACAACAACACATTTCTGGCTCTTGCATTTTTTTTTTTTTCTTCTTCCTCATATCTGTATCTTTAGCTTTGGCTTTGGCTTTAGGTTTAGATGTAGATGTATCTTTTTCTCTAGCATGTAGATGTATCTGAGTAGCTGTATCTCGGTGTAGGCGTGAATGTGTCGTTGACGTCGGCGTCTGGCTTTCGGCCATCTGTTGATATTCTGCCAACGTTTACTGCAGCAATGCCTTTGGCACTTTCAGTTAATTGCTTCATTTTTAAGAGAATACTTTTCTCAAAATGGCAAGTAAACAGCAACATATTCTGAAGAATCTTTATTGCCTTTTATTTGAGTTTTTCCTCCAAAAATAGTTATTTTTGCACAAATATTTTATGGGCTTTTAAAACTCATTAGAGGTTTACGACATTTTCATTTATTTATTTGATTTCTTTCTTTAAACTTTTTGTATTTATTCTAACAATATATCTTTTAGTTTATTTTTTATTTAGTTTTTTTAGTTTTTCAACCTATTTCTCACTTTTTCTTTAGTTTTCTACTTTCCCATCCTATTTTTTGCTTTGAAAAATTGTATTTTTTTTTTTCTAAATAATTCTTTACATTTTCCTAATACCTCTAACATTTCCCCAAAGTTTCCTTATATTTTTCTTACCAATTTTCGGCAATAAAAAAATATACAGACGCTTTGGAATTTGTCTTTTCTTTTATTCTGGGTGGCACGTCATGGCACTGCTCCCTCATTTTTTCGTTTATTTATTACTTTTTTTTTTCATTTTTTTTTAGTTCTTGCACAATGAGGTCATCAACCATCAACTGGCTGTCTGGTCGCTGTCCACCAAAAGCAAAAAACCAAAACATTTCAACTTTAAATTCCGCATTTTTCAAGCGAATCACAAAACATGAGTCACTATGCAGATTGCAGTACTTTATTAGAGAATTAAAAATTTAAAATAAAGGAAAGGTAATTAAATGGTTCTTAAAATGCGAAAAAACACGTTTCGCTTAGATTTATGAAGTCAAGTTTTTAACTCAAGTGCTGAGTAAGACTTCACGAATTTATTCAAAATGATTGTCAACTTCCGCTAAAAATTCTATGAATCGATACATATAGTTTTTAATAAAATTAAAAAAGCAACCATAACCAATTAATTCATTTTTTATGACCCAAAGAATGCATCAGTAGAGCAGAATAACTATATCAAATTCCCTTTTAAAAAACAAACGTGCTTCCTGCTGGCTCTTCCAATAATAAATTCTGAAAAAAACTAAAAAACTTTCGTAATAAACAAACAACAACATGGCCCAAAACAACAAGGCCAAAATAAATAAACAAAATAACAAATGTATGTGATTTTTTTAATAGGATTTTTCAACAAGCGAGTGCTTAAGATTTGATTTATGAGATTTAAAACGAGGGAGAGAGTCTATTTTGTAGTTTTTTCCAACAAAAAAAAATATATATATATTTTAAAGGGAATTATTGTAGTTATTTGATATATTCTTAAAGTTTCATATACGATCTTAAACTTACTCTGGTTCTGGTTGTCCATCAGCCTCGCATTCGATTATAAATGGATTGTCGCTTTCTTTATTTGGTTGTGCTACTTTAAATAAAAGATCTCCGGGTGCCGGTTGCTTAATAATTCGAGGTGGAGAGTTGGCTAAAAAAAATAAGAAAAATAAGGGAATATTTAGAAAAAGTATATAAATATATATCTTTAACAAGATCGATGAGTATTGTAAATCTTTAACACTAATTGATCGCATAAATTGTTGTCCTCCATCACCTCTCCGAGCTATCTTTTATTTTTAGATCTTGTTTCAAAAAAAAAAAAGAAAAAATTGCTTCACTAATTTTAAGCAAAATGGAGCAGGACTTGGGGGAATACTTAAGAGGGGGAGTTTGTTGGAAATCTCCTAAAGCCACTTTTCTGCCTTAAATCTCAAGTGATCTATGAAGCCGTTTTGGATGAGTTCTCTACAAGAATGCACCTGAACTATATTTGTTTTTCTTCTAAAAATACCATTTCAAGTGAATTATGAATGGAAAATGGGAAATGAAGAAAAGTATTTCAATTTAGATGGAATTTATTGAAGGGACTTATGGAAACTGGTTCAAGGGGTGTTCTGGGGGGCTTATTTTAGAGGGTTTGTAGGGGGATTTTATAAATATGAGGTTATTTTGTTATAAAATAAATATAAACTAAAATTATTAGTATAATTATTAGTATTATTTTATTATCCACTTACTTGTTCCTGCCGTTACACTGCCCAAGAGGGCAGCCACTAATAACGCGGCCAGCATCGTTGACTGCCGCCACATGTTGGTCCTTCTAGGTCGGAGTTCGAACTCCTCCTCGTCGATTAGTTTTTTTATTTAATTTCTTTTTTTTTAATATTAAATAGTTTTAATGGAATGTGTATTTAATTTGTGGTATAACTCGGATGCTCTCTTGAATTTCAAAAACAATTTTCTCACTAATGAAAATTGCATGCGAGCCGAGCCTTTATTATTTAATTTTCTGCCACTAGATGCTGCACTGCAAATACAATTATTACGTTGATAACAATGGCGTTGATAATAATGACTCTGTCAGTGTCTGTCGAGGCGGGAAAACTTGAGACACTTTTCGCGATGCGATATAATGCGCGAGAGCGAGAGGGGGCGATCTATATAGATATATATGATATGATATATATATATATAGGTGTGTATTGGTTGGGAAAAGTCACTGGTGTGTGGGTGGTTGAGTGCGCGAGTGGGTGGTTGGCTGGTTGGCAGTAAAAGTTTAGCACTTCTTGTCTGATATGGTCTGGTCTGAGCTGAAAATAGAGAGAAAAGTGAAAAGGAGTCGTGAGTAAAATGCAATTATTCCACACGAAAGTGTATCTCTAACTTAATGACTAGCAGATGTGGGGTTTTGTTGCAAGAAATGAATGGAAATGACAGAGTTGTAGACATAATAGTTGTAAGAGTTAGGAAATTAAAAAAAATATAATTATTTAAACCTTAAAAAGTGAAAAATTACAAAAACTTGTCCAACTTTTATTCCAATTCGAGGACAAAATTAGAAAAACACACCTTATCGCCTTGAACAGCGACCCTCAATAGAAAATTCGATATCGAATGCTAGTTGCCATTTCGAAATGCAAAGCCGAAACAAAAAGAAATATCGATTATTGTTAAATTTTATTACTATTTTGCCTTGACAAAAAAATAAAATAAAAAATAAAGAGAAACAAAATAGGCAGAGGAAATGGCCAAGAAAAGCGAGACAACAGAGAACCAAAACCAGACACACAAAACCCCATCAACCGTCAATGAATCAATTTCACTAAAATAGTGACAGAATGGAAGGCGAGACACACATAGAACGGGGTGGGGTGCGGGTGGGGGTGTTGTTGGTAACGTCATAGACCTGGTTAGGAAAAATGTGCCAGGGCAGTTAGCAAATTGTTGGCAACAGAAAGCATAAAGGAGAAGCAAGTAAGACAAATGGAGATACTATTGGTGGGATACCCTTTAAGGAGGGGAAGGTAGTAGTTGTAAGGCCCATTTAAGCACAAAATAGTGTGACCAAAGGCACAATAATTACCAGATTTAAATGAAGAAACCATTACGAGTGAATATATATCTTCATAAGCATTGGAAAGTGTGTGTTGTGATACTTTATTGGCTTTTAATGACATATATTCATAAATATATTGAACTAATCTAAACAGCTAAGGGTTTTAACCTTTAAAAAGTGTGACCAGAAGCCTAAAAAGTACTGCCTTAAAAGGAAAACCCCTAAAGTATGAATACATATCATCATAAGCATAAGAAAGTATATATTTTAAAACATTCTCACCCTATAATGACATATATTTAAGAAAAATATTAAACTCTTCAAATTCTAACCTCAAAAAAAGTGTGACCAGAAGTCTAAAACTGTGAGGATTCTGAAATAATCCCTAATGGATTGTCCTGCTGAGTTTAAATACCAAAGCCTTTTGCAGAAACAGAAAGCCCCCACTTTTAAGGTGAAAATACCCATTGTTTTGAAAGCAAAACAAAAGGGTTAGAAGGAAAAACACCCCCAATGGTGTGCTGGCCCCCCCCTTTTTGGACGCTAATTGAATTAGCGTTTTTTCCATTGACAGGTGCCCAGTGCCACAGACCGTAGTCAGTGTTTTTCTGCCCTGTTCGCCGCCAAAGCCTTTTCAAATTGGCTAAAATGCTGAACTGCAACGGACGTTACACGATCCGTATTCCATTCATCTTTGATTTGTTGGATTTATAAAGGAAATCAGACCAGAATAGTAGTGATGCAGCAACAGTTCCAGCACTTTCATCATCATCATCATCAGCATCCCCAGCATCAGCCAATCCAGCAGGTACATTCAGACTCTCAGTTGGAGCACAGGACCTCACCAGACGTGGAGCGGAATCGGGACCGGGACAGGCAACAAAATCGCTCCTCGATGGACTTTCGTAATCTGTGCCAGCGATTGGACGTGGATAGCTTGAGAGGTAGATATATAGTCCCTATAGGACCTCTTCTTTCCTAACTCTATATACTCCTCTATATTTCCCAGCCAAGCTACCATCTCTGCCGCAAATAAAGTTGCCCAAGGCCTTGCCCAAGTTGCGAGGCCGCAAGATATTCCGCAGCTCCAAGTCAGGTTCGACCAGAGCCAATGCTGGCTCCACCAAGGACAGGGGCTACTCGGGACCACCTCAACAGCAGCAGCAGCAGTATCAGTCGCAGCTGCAGGTGGCCGCCACATCCCAGCAGTTCATCAACCGGACACCCCAAAGGATCTCCACGATTAGTTCGCTGATGTACGAGGGTGGTGGCGGGGAGGCGTCTAGGGATGACATCCGGAGATCAGAGTCGCAGCCGGGCACGTACCGCAGTGCCGGCAGTCTGGACGATGACTACTATGCTCCGGGCAGCGGGGAACGGGCCTCCCGTCCCATCAGTCCCATTAAGATTCCCTCCGGAGGCGAGGAGGCAGCAGGATCGTCTCACCCACCCACTCTGACCCAGAGGATCCAGAGGGGCTACAAGAGTCTCAGCGAGCTGCGGCTGAAGCACATCTTTGCCAAGCAGACCACCGTGCGGCGGGACAACATCGAGGTGGATCGCTATGTGGAGCAGTATGAGCGGGAGCTGAAGTCCGAGAAGCGAGCGAGGGAGCGCCGGGATCGGGAGATCGCCGAGAACTACGACATCCAGATCAAGACCCTGGCGGGCACTCGGCAGAACACCTTCGAGGAGGACGAGGTGGAGCACGAGCAGTTCGAGAGGAACAAGGGACACCACCACCACCACCAGGACACGGACGAGAGTGGGCTGGAGGCCACTCCACCGCTGCCAAGTCGTCGCAAGCCCGGCATAGCAGCCACTCGGTTCGCCAAGGTCCGCAAGCCGCCTCTCGAGATGGAGGCTTCCGGAGACCAAGAGCCAGATCCGGACCAAGATCGGGAGGTCAAGACATCGCCTCCCAAGGAGAACCAGCCTCCACCACGTTCCAGCAGCTACAAGCAGCTGCTGAGCAAGCTCCCCCACCTGCCCAGTCTGCCCAATCTCCCCCAGCTCTCCAGGCCCAAGCCCGAGAAGGAGGCCAAGCCGGAAGCCACAACCAAGTCGGGTCTGAGGCAGAATATCAAGAGGATACGAAAGTCCATCAAGCGGCCGGCCAAGCTGAAGCCCAAAGTCCCTGCCAGCCAGGACACCGACGACGAGGAGGAGTCGGAGGAGAAGAAGGATGCCAACAAGGACTCCAACAAGGCCCCCACATCCTCCACAAATCTGAGAGCTCGCCTGGGGAGATTCGCTTCCACGGAGCAGCTGCAGCAGCGCTGGCGAAAGAGCTTCAAGCGAACCAAGGACGAGACCCCCAAGGAGGAGACTGCTGCCGTGGCGGGCGGTGTCCTGGGGGGCTTCCTGCTGGGCAGCCAGCTGGAGAAGACCCTCGGGAAGCTCAACGATAAGATGCACCAGATCAAGTTTTTCAGAGGCAGGGACAGGCAGCCAAGGAGCCGAAACCCAACACCGTGGGCCATGAGCCCGTGGAGCTGGACGACGACAACGAACTGGAGGCCACCTATCACCACAGCGATAGCGATGACAGCGGCGAGGATGTCTCCGCTGACGAGGCGTTTGGCGAAGTCCAGCCGGAGGCTAGTCCGGAGCATCTCCGCAAAAAGAAACCATTACTGGCCGAGAGGGAGAGGGAAAGGGAGAAGGATTCGGCCGCGAAGGAGCAGGCTGAGGATCAGGCATCCCTACCGGCAGCTAAGGCCTCCCACGCTTCTCGCCAGATGGCGAAGCTGGCGGAGATTCAGGCGGCGTCAAAGGGCGGGGCTGGAACGACGGCCTGGAGCAGCGAGTCCCTTGAGGAGATAGCCGACGAGGACTACCCCCGGGTCCTCATCCACCAGGAGCACTCGGACAACTTTGAATCCACGCTGATCATAGCCGTGGCCACCAAGAATCCCACGCCCTCGCCCCAGCAGCCTGCCCCCCCGAAGGCCAGTCCCTGGCTGCCCAACGACCAGATCATCGCCGGCTTCAAGCAGGAGGCGGCCTGGCCAGCTCCGGCCCTGTACAAGCCCAAGAGCATAGACATCTTCGAGGCCTCCGGCGGAGGCACTGCCTTCGCCGACTTTGACGAGGCCCTCCGGAATGCTCCGGTATTGAGGATCAGTGCCGGGAGCATAGCCTCCAGCATTGAGGAGAAGGACGAGGGCCACACCCGGGTGACCAGGATACGCGTCCAGAGTCCTCAGATCGGCAACAGTCGTGAGAGTCTCATGGCCCAAGACGAGGAGGAGGAAGAGGAGGAGCCTGAGGAGGATGAGGATGACGAGGAGGAGGATCTGGAAATGGAACTTCCTGTGGAGGCTATTGACCTGGACGACTCGCTCTCGGAGCGTCCTCCCTCGGCCTCGCCACCGCCTCCACCGCTGCCCCAAAGGAGGCCGCCGCCCATCCCCAAGGCCATCGAGAACACACCGATATACGATGCAGTGCCTCCACCACTACCGATAACCAAGCCGCCCGAGAACGTGGCCAAGACAGAGCCCATTCCTAACCCCAACCCCCAACCGGCCGCGGCTAGGGTCTCGCTGCCCCAGAGAAGCGCCTCCATGTCGAGGCCGGCCAAGCCCCTCGTGAAGACCAGCTCCCTGCGGCTCACCTACAACGAGCAGGTCCGACCCGGCGACATCGGGAAGGTGAACAAGCTGATATCCCGGTTCGAGGGCGGTCGGCCGCGCCTCTGCCCCCGCCGGATGCACAGCGAGGAGTACGAGCGGGCCTGCGACGAGGAGGAAGAGGTCCTCCAGGAGGTCCTGCTCCAGAAAGTGCGAGCTATCGATTCCGTAACGCCCACCAATCGGAACGTGGTCGTCATACCACAGATCACCCTCAACAACAACACCGAACGGGAGCCGGAGAAGCCCAAGGAGAAGGTGACCACTGCGGATCCGAGTCTGGATCGTCAGAACTCGAACTGCAGTCGATCGGAGTACGGTTCTCCACTGGCCTTTCCCAGCAATCGACGCAGCTCCACGCCCACCAACAACAACAACAACAATAATCCAACTATAATGCCCTCTAATCCCAATCCAAATCCGATAACTATTCAGCATCAAAGACGCAGCCGACGCTCCATGACCCGCGACGATGACAACTTTTATAGTTTCGATAGCGACGAAGGTGGGTTTATCGATAACTCTTATCGATACTAAGATCCAACTCTTATATTATATTTTATTTGAAATTATTTCAGAGAACAGCTACTACTCCATAAGTCCCTCGGGAAGCAGTCGCTATGTGGTGGAGATTTAATCGAATCATAGTATTAGATCGATATTTAAGTAAAAAAGTTATCGATTAATGGTGTTTTTTTTTTTCTTCTAGCCTAAGTCCTTGATTATTTGAATAAAGTACAACTTGTAAAACGACAAAAGAACCCAACACTAAGCTAATTTTAATTTTTAAAACTATTTTTTTTTGTTTTTAATTTTGAAAGTTGGGGTGAAAAAGTCGAAAAGGAAGTTGATTAATGGGGGATGGTCAGGATATTGGGAAGGTGCCAGGGTGCCATGGTGCCAGCTGACACTATCACCCACCCTATAGAGGCTACCATGGTGGTTGCAATGATCCTGCAGGACCTGAAATACCTTCCCCTACCTCCCTAGGACTGGCAGACTAGCCTTCTGACTGAGCGCATTTTAATTGATAATTTATGCTAATTAATTAATTTGGTAGAAATGCAGTCAAGGGTGGCACAAGGCACAAGGCACAGCCTTCTATCCTTTTATCCTTCGAATATTACATCGCATATATACCGGTTCTATGCATCGGTCTATGCAACATATGCCGCTTGGCTTTGAGGATAATGCACTTTTTATATTTGGATTTGCTGGAATTGTTCTCTGATATCCGTGGAATGGAAACAATCATGTCCTTAATTCGTTTTAGGACATCTGTTTGGAGAAGTTTTCAAGGAGACTTTGTAGAGGGAACTACTAGGGAGGGAGCCATGGGTTCAGCTATGGGTCTTGAGTCTGAGTTTCTGGTTTCTATTTTATTTAAGTAATTAATTAAGATTTTTTTTAAGAAATATTAGGAAAATATTTATAAATTATTAAGGTTATTATTATTATTAATTGTTAATAAATATCTCTTGGTTTTTAAAATTGAAAAATTTAGGGAGAATTATTTAGAAGAGCTACGGTATAGTTGTTTTCTAGAATATTATTACAAAGCCCTAAGTTCCTTCTAAGTCCCTTCATGACTTAGTCTTTTTAAAATATATTTTTTAAAGAGTTTTTCTAATGAATATCCTTATTAAAAGTTTAAGATTCTTTGAATTCTTTTTCTAAGCTTTTAATTTATGTATCTCTCTCTTTAGGACATGAACTAAACCCTGCAGCCCTAAAATTTAAGTTCAAATACATGTCCCTTTATTTCCCCCCAGTTCTGACTTTGATTTTTGAGTAACCTTGGCCCTTTGCCTTCTACTGCAATGCAGTTGAAAACTCACAAGCCCTCCCATCTGCATTTTCACTCATGGGGGCTTAGTCATTTTGCAAGTGGGGCTGGCTGCTGATTCATTAGTCGGCTTAGAAATTCAACCTCCTGTTTTTTTCTATTTCTTTTTTTGGATGGAGTGAGTGATTGAATGACTCTTGCGGGGTCATATCTGGCCTTTAATCAGAGCAAATTAATAAGCCCAGTCCCTCCTCGTTGTGGGTCGCTTTCATCATTAATTAAACTTTGTTTGTGCCCTCCAACCGCCTCCATATCGCCTCCACTCTGGTGACTAATTTTTCCCGTCTCGTCTACGAAAGAAATGTAATTCTTGATATGGGAAAGTATACACAAGTCATAAGTGTAGATGTGAAGCTCTAATTTTCACGCTTAGGCCCCCATGGTAGCAAATTAAATGCCAATAAATTTTCCAAAAACTAAAAGAGGGGGGGAGGAAGACTATAGAAGACCATGGGAGACCATACCAGCAGAATTATTCTTTTGTTGATTTTTGGGCAGCAATTAAAAGAGAAAACTATTCCCCTCCCGGGAAAAGCAAATAATGTGCGAAATTATTTGGTTTTTAGGTTAGGTTAGGTAGCCGATCAAATCAAACCCAACCAGGACTCTAGCATATATGGAGGAGGTTGCAGCAACCCTCTTTGGGAGAAGCAGCTACAGCTACAGCTGCAAGCACAGTTATTTGACACGCGACCGAAAGTATCTACGAAATGTTGCCAAAGGACTTTCAGATACAAACACAGGGTCTGAAACCCGCACACCACCACACCCCCTGAGGAAAAAAATAAAATCCACCCCAAAAACTGAAATAAATTCCTCGTCGTCCCTTTGTTTCATTTCTTTCATTTTTTCTTTCAGTGCATGTGTGTGGTCAGCTTGGGAAATGGATTAAATGAATGATTGACAGAGTGACCGAATGCCGGCTCAGATATGCATCCAGCGGATGAATGGCTCTTTCGGCTCTGATTCCAAATCTCTATGCTTTCCATAATTTTAATATTTTAATCAGATTATGTTTAAAGGGTTTGAGGAGTTTTTAAGGCACTTAAAATATTATATTTATTTATTCTATTAATAAATATTATTATTTTTCTCTTTTAATAGTCTTAAACAAAGCTTCTAATAATATATTTAAAGAAATAATAGTTAAAAAAAATCTCAAAAAACAAGAAAATTATTATGTTTTCCTCTTAACCCCTGAAACCCCTGAAACACTTTAAAACAATTACCCCTTTACCCATTAACCCACTAAAGGCAACTAAAAAATTAAATGAAAAACCATTAATCAACTAGATTCCGCAACTTTCTTTTTATTTTTTAAGAGGAAGTCTGGGGGGGGGAAAGCGGAAAATTCAAAGGAAATGACTCAAAATAGGCGCAAAACTTTTAACCGCAATGGTGGGGCGGGGAGGGGCTGGAAAAGCCCAGGGGGAGGCGGTTTTAGACTGGGGAGGGTAGGCATTTTCCACTGGGGAGTTGCTGTCAGGTTTCCGGACCACAGACGCGTGGAGTTCAATGCTCTGCCGGCGAGGCAACATAATGCAATTTATGAAATGGGAGCTCGACTGACAAACCAACTCCCCCCGCCCCCTTTTGGCCTGGTGCCTCCTCTCTGGCCAAGGGGAAATAGCCACATTTAAAACGGAGCAACTAACTAACGCATTAAACGGAAGTTTTAGGCCCGCAACTAGCAGATGGGGAAATGTTGGCTAAAAACATGTAAAATATTATTAAAAAAATAAATTAATTAGAAATAAATAAATAAAAAAATAAATAAATTATTTTTTTCTAAAATAGCTCTTAGATCAAGATTCCCTAATACAAAAATAAGCTTTTTTAGAAGCCATTTAATGAAATTACATTATTTATCCATCCTTTCATTTATTTAAAAAAAAAAAATTGGTAACATTTAAAATTTGGTTATATCTTTCTTCAATTTTATTCCTTAATACTCTTTTTATTTTATTTGTAAATTTTATAACTTAATTTATTACTTAATAAACAACCCTGTATTTATTTTGTCAACATCTCATCACTCTTGGAATGAAGATCTCGCAAATCCCTGATCAAATATCGTTTTCTGTCAATACCTACACATTTTGTATCGTTAAATCTTTATTTGATTTGAACTTCCATAAATAAATAAGAAGAAAAAAAATTAGCAAACTCAACACTCAAGACTCTGGCTATTTTTTTTTGTATTTTGTGACTCAAAGCAAAGTCAAACTTATTTATTTTTTTATTTTTTTCGTTATGAGCTCACGTATTTGTTAAAAAAGACACACCCAAAAGTGAGAAAAAATATTCAAAGAGCTTCAGGTTTGTTTTTCGAGACTCTCTTTATTTTCAATATTTATTTTCAAGTTTTTTTTTAAGAAATTGAATAAACTATAAGAGGTGCGGCTCATACTATTTATTCTTCAAAGAAAAATTTTATTAATATTTCTTGGTCATTTTCCACTGTAATTTGTGTTGCATTTTTCTTACATTTAACCCAAATGATGAGTGCTTTTTGCCCAAGTAGCCCCATTGGGCTTAAAAAAAAAAACCCAAACAAAAATATATAAACATATAAACATATAAGTGAGTATATAAAAAAAAAATGGTTAGAAAAGAAAAAAAAAGTCTGGGAATGGAGTGGCAAGGTAATGCAAATTGCAGTCTGCCACTCCTGTCTGTGTGCAACTGTGCCACATGGGGTTTTCACTAGCGGACTGCCACGCCTCCCTACCGAACGCCTACCCCCCCACCCCCATGGACCGACCCCCACGATTTCGTCCGAAAACACTTAAAAGTGCAATGCACTCGACAACTCGGCAATCGCAACGGTACTGGCACCTAGAGTTGCCACAAAACATGGTTGATAAAACTAGCGAAACCAAGCAAAAAAAAAAGCACTGAGGAAAATATTTATTAATAATTTTTAGTAAAAAAAAAAAACAATAGAAAAAAAATAGAAAATTAAGAAAAGTTAATAAAAAAATATAATTCAAATCTTATAAAAATTTTGTTAAAAAATATAATCTAAATAGTTCCTCTTATAAGTTCGAACCTAAAGCCTGAAGCTGGAATAAATACAAAATTGTAGTGCTTGGAAGACCTAAAAAACCTTCAACCTTAGTTTTTATACCATTTTTAAGAAATAGGTATATAATTTATATTACTTAATATTTTTCCAAAAAATTTTCTATATTTTTCGAGCCTTTAAAACTTAAGAAACAATTTGTAGATATATATAATATATTTTCTAAAAATCTCTAACCCTCTCTCTCTATATATTTTTCAAACTATACCCTTTTAAAAGCTTTTAATTAATTTACACCTTACATTTTTCTCAGTGTATTTGAAAAGATATGGTGGCAGGCCAACAAAAACAAAAGCAAGTCAACTAAAAAAGCAAATAAAAGGTAAACAACAAACATCTAAGCGCGGCAACCGCGAAAACCGCCAACCGGCATCGAGTCCCCTTAACCCACTACAGCCGACAGCCGACAACACTCCAAAGACTCCCCCCACCCTCCCACCATACCTTCCTTAACCCCCTTTTGGACACACACACACTCGGGTATTATTTTTTTTGCCGGCACTATAACCCCACAGATATGGAAAAGAAGTCGGTGCGAAAAAAGGCCTTAGAAACGTTAAAGTAGAAAAAAAAAATAGAAAAAAAATAGAAAAAAAAATAGAAAAAAAAATAGAAAAAAAAATAGAAAAAGAGTCGTTGACTAATCAAAAGTCTGAAAGGAAGTTGCAACAATGAAAATGGCAGAAGCCAGCCATCAATGGGCTACACTTTTTACAAAAATGTATCTCTAATTCATTCAAAGAGATACACGAGATTGAAATATTAATTCTGATTTGAAATTAATTCTTATTTGAAATTAATTCCAATAATTCTATAAAATATAG